TAATGACAATCCACACAGACAACCAATGACTCTTTCACACTTCTTCAAGCTGCTCGATCGCCAAACAGATCAGGAACCAGCATCAAGGCCCCCTACCAGTGCTATTGGCAATCGGCATCGACAACGAACGACTGTTTGCCACTTCCTTAAGGTGCTCTGTCGAACACCACTAACTCCCGAATCATTCGGTGACATTGTTCAACTACTATTTGTCAACCGCAGAAGGAGCCTCAGGTCCTTCTGGGAAGATGAATGATGCACACAATTGTTGCAGGGGTAGTCACGGGTTGCGGGTTCATGTCAGGGGTACTGACGGGTTGCGGGTTCAACTTGCCAAATGTCGTGCACCAGGCTGGGTGTTCCGCCCGACCACAGTTGACAGGTTCAGTCCATCAACTTGCAAGGTGTCGGGCGCCGGACCCCTGACCTTTTATGGAAAACAGGCACCACATACCCAAGACGATGCCCTTTTGAATCGTGTACTGTCTGTCACAGCAACACTAAGCCAGTGGTGTGCGTTCATGTTGTCCATCTAAATGAGAGTTCAGTCCGACTTGTGGTGTGTACCCCGACAACACCACAAGCAATGTCCAAGAACTGCTAACCTGCGGGATCTGGAGTTCAATTCTGTTTCTTGATTGCGAAACTCTGCTCGAAACAGATCCAAATCCAACAGGAAGTCCCGCCACAGACCATCAAACCTTCCCCTGGTGGCGGACTTCAGCATCCAAGACTGCCTAGCAACTGCTAACCTGCGGCAAGCAAATCCACACCCAGCATCAAGGTTCCCTTAGAATGCGTGGCCATCCGCACGATATCTGCCCAGTAACTGCTAACCTGCGGCAAGCAAATCCACACCCAGCATCAAGGTTCCCTTAGAGTGCGTGACCATCCGCACGATATCTGTCGAGCAACTGCTAACCTGCGGCAAACAAATCCACACCCAGCATCAAGGTTCCCTTAGAGTGTATGGCCATCCGCACGACTGTTTGACACTTGTTGAAGGTGCTCAGTCACCAATCCGATATCTGCTCTGTCAATGCCTTTCCGGGTTAAAGCAAGGAGCTCTCTGTCTCTCTCTCTCT